TATTAAATTAATATATTTTAGTAAAATTAATATTTATAATATTAAATTAATACTTTTATTAATTTATCTTATAATTTCTGTTTTAAAATAAATTATTTTTATAATTGTTATTTTTATAATTGTTCACTTATTCATAAATTGTGTTAACGTTAAGAAATGTTAAATAATTAATTTGACACAATATTAAATAATAAATATAATCACATTATGTTAAATTGAAATTCGGTTATGTTAAAAAACATAAAAATGACAAAAATCGGTTTTAATAAAGGATGTTTTTTTAAGCCCGATAGAACTTGAAATTGTAAAAAATAAAACAAAAAATTAAATTAAACAGCCGCGATGGCCATATGCCCGAAATCATTTTCAAATGTTAATGCCATGCATTGATCTTTCGATTAAAAAAAATTTGATTATAATTTAATTTTTGTGTTAGTTTTTACAATTTTAAGTTCTATCGGGCTTAAAAAAATACCCTTTACAAACACAAAATGTTTTTTATTGTGTGATCCATTTTTAATCAAAACAATTATGTGCTGGACCATTTAATAATATCATATTAAAATTAGATTCATTTGCACACACAACCGATTGCATTTTATTAAATTGAATTAAACTATACACTGTTGACCGAAATTGACAAACGTATAGGTTTAAAGAGAAAGCTAACGTTTAAAGATCGAGTGAGTACATAGGTTTATTGGATCTGCAGCAATGCAGTCAGTTATATAATAACTTACTCACCATAGTTTTCTCTCTTTTTCTACTTTATAGCCAGCAATTTTAAGACTTGTAATAAGTCAGATCCGAAATTAGGAGAATGCCTTGCGGATGCTATCAGAGATGCAATTGTTTCGATGGCCAAAGGTAAATATATCTCACTTTTTTATCACAATGTGACATTTATAAATTTAAAAAAAATCTTAAGAAAAGTTAGAAAATTTTAAGATTAAAAAGTGTGCGCAGTTTAAAAGTTCAAAGTATAATAAATATAAAGATATATTTGGACCTTAACGATATGTTTCATAGTTTTTCTACGCATAATGAAAAGAATATTTCTACATTTTTTCTATAACATAGAATAAGCTAAGAATAGCGTAGAATCAAATTATTAAATCGTAAACATATAATTTGTTCTTAGAGTAAATTATAAGTCGATGTCGATATTCACATTTCATTATAAGAGATAAGCATCGACTTTTCTGTAATTTCAATCAATAATTTCATTAATTAGTACTTTTCTTGTATATTTATTGTATCATGAATAATTATCATTGCAGAGATATTCAATTGTTTTAATAGTTTAAAATGGTTTAAATATTCAGAGAATTCATAGAAATGCCTATACGTTTATACGGGTGTTCCGTTTTGGCAGGAATGAATATATTACAATTTTTATAATAGATAATATACATATATAATAATATCCATATATACAGAGTCGTAAGTTTTGGCCAAACACTTTTGTGTAGATAGAGCCGACTAAACTGAGTCGAAAAGTTCTCTATCATCTTGCAATTTTCGCAATGGTTAACGAGATATTAATTACTAAAAATCGCTAAATATTAGTTTTCAATCATTTTTCACTCAAATACTATCAACTCTATAGAAAAATAGCAAGAGATAAAAATTGTTTATTTTCTTCTTATAAAGTTCTGAGAATTTTTTCAGAATTTTTAATATCATATTTTCTTATGGTGATAAAAATAAGAAAATACAATACTAAAAAATTGATAAAAAATTCTGAAAAAATTCTTAAAATTCTATGAGAAAAAAATTAATAATTTTGGTCTCTCGCAGTTTTTCTGTAAAATTGATAGTATTTGAGTGAAAAATTATAGAAAACCAATATTTAGATTTTTAGTAATTAATATTTCGTTAACCATTGTGAAAATTGCAATGATAGAGAACTTTTCGATTCAGTTTAGTCAGCTCTATCTACACAAAAGCGATTGGCTAAAACTTACAGTTCTGCATATATGGATTACACATTTATTATCTATTATAAAAATTGTATTAGGTGTTGGAATTAATTCGTAGCGTTTTTTAATGAAAGAATGTTATTTATTTCACATGAGCATTAAAAAATACATTAATGAAAGTACTTCCCATCACTTGTAAAACGCTACGAATTAATTCCAACACCTAATAATATATTCATTGATCAAACTCGTAATTAAAAATGTCGTAGAGTCTCCAAAGTATAAGTTTAATGTATTACAAATTTGTAAACGAAAACTCAATTCATATAATATTTTGTATTAATTAATATTAAACTGCATTTTCTATTTTCAGAAAAAAATCAGTAAATAATATCGTTATAATTGTTATTATACAAAATCAATCTCTTTCTCTAATTTGTAAACTAATAATTAATATAAATTATTAATAAATTTTGATTCAATAAACTGCGCGAACGAAAAAAATTATTCATTTATTTTTTATAAATGAAGAATAATTTTAAAGTATGTATATTTTATAAAATATACTGTAAAAAATATACATATATTAAATAAGATAATAATTATATATATATAAAATTTATAAC